GCTGCGGCTGCCGAACGCTCCATTTCTGCACAGGCCCCCTGTCAGGTCCCAGAGCTCACGAGTTGCGGTCAGGAGAGGAGCGCAGCAATGGTACAGCCTTCCACTGCATTCCATTCCTGTCATCCCCAAGCGAGCTGAGGGCTGCCTCCGGCACTGAAGCAGCACAGTTCTGATGGTACCCGAACCCCACAGCCTCCAAGGGGCTGTTGGAGCCCCTCAGCTTTCTCACTGTACCCTGTTTCACCAGCTGCACTCACTGGTCCCATGGGACAGCTGGTGCTGGGTGACCGGCTGCTGTCTGAGGGGGTACCGAAGAAGCAGGAGCATCTCCGGGTGGTCAAGTGGAGACATCTGACCGCTTGGGCCACCATGATGCCACAGACCTTGAGGGTGGAACCTTGAGGATAGTGAGGTGCTGGAACAAGTTGTTCAGAGAAGCTGTAGCTGCCCCCTCCCTCGTAGTGTTCAAGGCCAGGTTGGATGGGGCTTCGAGCAACCTGGTCTAGTGGAAGGTGTCCCTGTCCATGGCAGGGTCATTAGAACTGGATGATCTTCAAGCTCCCTTCCAACCCAAACCATTCTGTGAAACCTGCTGTTGCTCAGGGGCTCTGCTCTGTTAAAGGTGCGCTCCTGTCAACGGCTGCCTTTGGGCTGGAGTTAGCAGGGCGCAGGTCCAGCGTGGCAAGATGAGCACCACAGAAATATTAAATTGAAGGAGCTATTGAGTAGGAAATGGAAGCAAGCCAGTGGATGGTTATCATGAGTGAGTGCTGACCTTTACGAAATGACCACAGTTTCTGTCTCGTTTGCTGGTGGTGGAACCAAGCTATGTTTCCTCGCTGCAAAGCTGCTGTGTCAGTGAGTCTGCCAGATGTCTCCATCACAGGATCAGGAGAGCAGAGCCCCATGGGCTCGTTGTGCTGCCACCCAGCTCCTTCGGTGCCTGCAGCTGCAACACCAGGTTGTGGCATCTTGCTGATGGGCAGCAGACCCCACCTCTCCATTCTCCCCCAGCAGTGGCCTGTGAACGAAAGTTTTGGGTTTTTTATGCTATGCTCAGCACAGTATTTGACTGTGCTTCTGTCCCGTTACCAAATGCTTTATGTATCCCATTGCTAGCAATGCCAGATGCTGTAATTCCTCTCCCAACAACATCTCATGCTTCGGTTTCCTGACTGTTCTGCCCAGCTCAGCCTTCCTGGGTGAGCTGCTCTCTCCACTCCTCCGCATTTATTTGTAGGCCAGACTAACCCTGCTCCTTCTCTGACTCCATTCAGTTACCCTCTCCACCTTTTGAAATCTCAGCTCAGTGACCATACCCTGATATCTCCGGTTGTTACTATTACTCTCTAATGACCATACCCTGGTATCTCCGGTTGTTACTACTACTCTCTAATGCTTCTAATGGCTCCCCTCTCACCTTTCTGTCCTTCCTCCCCCCCACAGTTGTCCCCAGCCCATGAACCAACCATCTGTTTTTGCCTGCAGCTCCCTGGCTGCTGCTGCTCTCTGTGGGCTACAGACCTGCTGGGATGGTTTGAGGAAATGCAGTTTTGAACACCAAGCGCCTTTCTCTGCAGCATTGAGATGCTTTCAAAACCACCTTAAAAATGGCTCCAAACTGAATGGGGCTTGGCAGATCTGCAGCAATTTGAAAGCAAAGGCATTCAAATCTGGAGGGAGGCAGTTTGTCTAAAATTGCCCCCGAGTTACCTATTTCTGAGGACCCCAGCAGTACAATAACCTCTTTGAGGGATTAGAGGGCCGGATCCATGAAAACTCTCTTTCAGTGAATGAGAACCCGATGACATTCACATTTCTGGGCTGAAAATTTTGAACTAATGCATTATGTATCAGACTGAAAGAATCCTTCTTGAGGGAATAAAACTACTTCTTTAGAATGCAGAGTGAAGGATTCCTGTTCTAGGAAGAGGTAAGGTGAACACTTCCAAATTCAATTCTCCAAATGAAGGGATTGCAGCCAAGTAGGAGACACAACTAACCAACTGCCTAAGGGGGACCATGCAGAGTACCTGCTGTTATTTTATCTGCTAAGTACTCCCGCCCCTTGTGCTGTCTGTAAACTACATCTAGTAAGGCAGGCAGTAACATAAATCCATTTTTTATAGGCTTCTGTTGTAGGAGAGGGAATTTTTTTATTCTTCAGAAGTGAAATCTTGATTTTTCTTTCGTTTTTTGCTACCTGCAAATTTACAGGATTCTACTGTTCCCTTTCCTTTCGTGGTCTCTGCGTTATTACTGGTGAGGATTAATGCATTTTGCTAGTCCCTTCTACATGGCAGCAGCCTGAAGCATGATGTGGTCAGATGTTTGTGCTTGCTGCAGGAATGAGGTTCAGGAAGCCCAATTTCCATTCCTTTTACAATATTAGACTGTACATCTTTCTGAGTGCCTGGTTCATCTGGATGCAAGGGCTTTTCTCACCCTTAGGATGCACTCTCTCCAGCTTGTGTCGCCTGCAGGAGAGTGCAGTGGGTTAACATGATGGATCAGTTGTCATCTGCTCTTCTGTGGCCAGGAAGACCTTACATAGATGCTCGCAAAAATTCCCTGTCACCGTTAAAGTAGTTGGACTTGACTGTCATTTCAGTGATGCCAAATTGAAGATCATTTGAAGTTCACTTGAGGGTTTTTGGCTGACATTGCAGCAAAAGATGAGAAATTTCTCTCATGTCAGTTGTATTCCCCATGCCTAGTAGACGGTGGCTGTTGCAAAACGTGGAGTAACTGTGGTTGGTAAAATCTGTGGCAAATCCCAGTAAGAAGTTCACTTTAGGTTACTGAGGCACAGGTCCTCCACAGACATCTAGGACCTTTTTCCGTGTGCAACCAAGGTGGTAAGGATGATTTAGAGGCTTCCTCTTTGCAGGATCAAGGGAGGTATTTTTGTCTTATTCCTGATGTTCTTCAGAGCTGCTGATGCGTTGAAGCGATGCAATAGGCGCTACTATGTCTATGATGGAGAAGGCAGATAAGAACAGTAGAAGCGCCTTGGTTAGGGCTTGAGGAAAAACTCTGCAGACCACCGGGGCTCGTGCTGGTCTTCAAAACCTGAGTGTGAGCTGCTGTACCACACTGCTGATTTGGAGATCTGTAGTTCCTCAAGTTACAGGGACCACTTTCAAACAAATGTCATGTGGGAAGCAGATCTTTCTTGATTTTTCATTATCTTTGGGAAACATCTGGGTTCCTTTGCACCCAGGCAGCAAAGGGATGCTCTAGGCATGGTGTGGGTGTTCTGGGGGCAGGTGTGACACTGAATATTTAGGCTTTTTGTGGAGGATCCAACAAATCACGGTCTAGGATGGAGGATGAAAAAGCCTCTTGGTGCTATGTTAACATCCCAGATGAGAAATTAGTATATGCTAGTGTCTCCTGTATCCTATGGCTTTTATCCTGCATCTCAGTCCTTTGCTTTTTGGGGGTGAAAGCAGTTCTGCTCACAGACCCGGATACAAGCTGTCTTGTGTAGGCAGGAGGTCGCATTCACATGCTCCATGTATTTAAGCCTCTGTGTGCATATGCTGACTCTTGCTCACATCTGTCAGGTTATCTGCTTCCTTCATTCGGGGTCCTATCAAATCTTCTTCAGCCTGTGAAGCAGCAAGAAGTGCAGATAGACAAAAACTGTCTTGAATCTAAAATTTCAATGCCGGGACCTGTCTTTAATTTTACACACAATGAATGACCACCTTGACCCACAGTCATTGCTGGTGTTGAGATGCTGACTCAAAAAAGTGCTTCAGCACCTGTGCTTGGCTGCTACTGTCTGGCAGAGTGTTTATGTCTCAAGTGATGTGTATATTCCTGCTTTGAAGAGGGAACTGGCAATACAACCAGAGCAATATGATGGATACCATGCATACTGAAGGACAGATCTGTCAGCTGGGTCTGTCTCACCATATCTTATTTAGATAGAAAAGCAGCTTGAAGGCATGTAGGGTTGTTAATGAGGTATTGGAGAAAAGGGAAGCAACATCACAAGATATCAACCATGTGTAATTAATGTCCAAACCGTTTTGTGTTGTTATCACAAGATGGCTGAGGAGAACTCTGAATCTCTTAAAAAAAAATGCCATCTCTTAAACATGTAAGAAAATTAAAGATTACTCAAGTGATAGAGATGTATTTTCTTAAATCTTATATGAACCCATGATTTCCCCATGCAGGCCCAAGTCCTCCGTGCCTGCCTGTCTGCCTAGATGAATTCATAGTAATCCAGCATGTGAGTTTGGCTTTGTATGCTTAAAAGTGAAGGAGACATTTCCCATGCTTGTTTTTCATGTGTTATTAACTTCATTTCCAAAACAGTGGTTTCCAAGCTCTGACT